GAAGCACTTCAGAGACCCCAACTCATGGAAGTTAACAGCTTAGAAGGGGTAGAGCTAGAATTCAGCCTCAGGCAGACTGTATTAAATGATTAGCTCCTGAAATTATGCTCAGGCCTTGAGACTTTCCTTGTAGACATGAACTAAGTAAAAATCCAAAGAAAGGAAGGGCTTTTCTTTGTAAGGGGAAGAGGGAATAGTGAACATTATCATCTGAACAGCTCATTTTCAATAATTTTTTTTCTCATCCTCAGGAAAATAATGAAATCATAGTAAGACTTTCACACATCATATTAGGGAGCACTGGCCTGATGGGAAAAAGGGCACTTTAGAAGGAATATACTGACTGTGTCCCCTTAGCTTTTGCTGCCTAGCTGATCTCTTGCTGATAACTTCCTAATGCCTTTGAGAATGATGTAAAATGATATCTCCTTGCTGAGAATAAGGCACAAAACAGTACAAATCACCCAGATAGGGGGGAAATCATGGATTTCTTCCTCTCAAAGATGTCAAAATGTTTCCAAAACAGTGGCCAAATCTGGTATATATTCAGAGGTTGTACCTGGAAAGTAAAGGAAACTATGTCATAGTCTCAGCATTAGGTAAAATCATGTTGCAACTCATATCGTGGCATCTCTGATACTCAAAATCCACTAGCTATATTCATACTGTTTATCAGGAGAATCCTGAGATTTCTTACGAGCAGAGTCAATTAAACCCACAATAAAAACTACTAAATTTTTTTCAGAACAGAGGCTATCACTATATATCATATTTGATGCAAAATTTGCCACCGCTACAACTGTCAAACATGTATTAGCATATCAAAAATCATTTTAACCTTACAGAATATTATTCATTTGATGAAAATTAAGGAGGTACAGGGATTCCTCATCTTTCAATCCATAAAATTTAACTGATGTGGACATCTAATGTGTGCCAGGCACTAGATGAGGAATTGAGTTGATAAAATATAGACATTAAGGAGCTTGTTCTTTTAAGGTAAGAGCTTTAGATTCAATAACTAAGGATCATATAAATGTTATAAAAGAATAGTGTACTAAAGACTGAGAATGGCCAGGAATCCAAGTAGACTGAGGTGAAAGCTGTCTGACAGCTGAATATTCCTACAGCCTGGTTCAGGCTGAAGGAACAGTATATATGAAAACATAGAAAGGAGAAAGTATATGGCTTACTATGAAAATGTTTTAGCTTATGAGCAGAGAAGGGCAGATATGTGGAAGAAGAGAAGAAATTTGAGAAATATTTGAGTGAGAGGAAGAAAAACAACTGATCATATGCTTTACTAAAGGCAGGCACTTTATCCTGAAGTTGGTAGTGATTTGTTTGTGGACTAAAAGCATGATGAATAATCAGAATCACCTTTGGGAAAATCACAGTGGCAGCCTTTTGAAGGATGGGCTGAAGAAGAATAGAATCTAAGACAAGAAGATCAATTGGGAGGCTGCAGCAGATCTCAAAGAAGGACATGATTGCTCAAACCAAAGCATGTGATAAGGATGAAGGTGAAGGGGTCAGTGTGAGATAGGTTAAGAAGGCGGACCAGATTTAGAGACCAGCTGGTTGTTGGGGTGAGGAAGAAGTACATATTTAGGATGACTGTCAGCTCTCTGACCTAGGTAGTTCATCACTCACCAAGAGAGGAAACAGAAGAGTAAGTTTGAATGGAGAGACACTGATTCATTGTGGGATATTTTTCATTTAAATGTACATGCTGAGAAGACACATAGATATAGATATGAAATTCTTGAATTCAGGAGAGCATACCATATCAATTTTGGTATTATTTTAACAAGTATTTTTATAATCATCTGCTCTGTGGAAGGTGACATTTTAGCATCTATCAGGGCATTCATTACAGGCTATTTACCTTTCATAAGGCATTAGGTGATTGTGATGTCTGGGACCATTAAATGAAGCAGAAATTGTAAGAAAGTGTAATTATAAAAAAGATAAAATAGTGTGCTCTTTTCTCAGCTCTGAAATACTAGCAGAAATGTGAATCAACAAAGCTATTGTGTCACTACTGTACTTTTGAGAAAGTCTCCTCATGCTTCATCTATATTGCTATACCATGAAATAGTCTTCCTTCTGCTTGGCTTACCAGTTAGAATGATTCTGAACTTGTCACTTTTATGTTTAGTTTTCCCTGTCTTGATGTGAGCTGAGTCATTTAGTCCTTTGATTAAAAAAAAAAAGTCCTCATCTTTAGGCTACATTGCTCCTAAAAACCCATTGAAAAGGTATGTTGAATTCTCCTCTTTTACATCTTTCCTGTGTTTGAATAGAATAGCCCCAAATGTAGAAGATGAAAGAAACAAGAAAACACATGGCGACTTTAACTTATCAGAATTAAGTATATGGAAGAAAATAACTCCAGATTTACAATAATGTGACACCATTAGTATTAAGTAATATAAGCACTTATATATCAATGTTAAAGTATATTGTTTGACATGAACCAAAACTAAACTAGAACATACACATGAACTAAAAATTAGGACTTATTAATTCATTTTTAATAAAATATTGCTTTTATAAAAGCTTGTGTTTCTAGTATCTAATTTCCATTCACTAGAACATTTTGTAGGCAACTTGGGTTAAGAAAATTTTCTTCTTGATCTCTGAATGATATTTCCTTTGAAGCAACTTATATTCACCCCATGGATATGTCATCAATCTGTTATGTGTGAATGCACACTAGTCTTTCCTGTCCTTGACCAAATGTTTCATTTCCTGAAAATTAAGTTACTTAAATGCAACAAACAGATGGTCAAAGAGTCCTGTAGAAGCTTGCTCTGCTACAAAATTATCTGAATTCCTGCAGTAAACCTGAGATGTTAGCAAAGATTCTTTTTGCACACTACTAAGTTAATATTTGATGATGCAATCTTCACCCCATTTTTTAAAATTCAGTTACTTTGGGCATTAGGAGGAAAAGGTTAAAAAGCAATTTCATATTTTTATACAAAAAATTAAGATTGATTAAATCATACAGTTGTCCCTTATCTTAAAGTTGTTCATAAGGTGTTAAAAATAATAACAAATATACATGAAGACAGAAAGATAACAGTTTTACTTTTTTCTGTTTCTAGTCTTCAGATATTATATTCTCTACGCTAAAGAAAGACTCCACAATCAGGCCCAGTGGCTCAAGCTCTAATCCTTGGCAGGTGTGATCGGGAGGACTGAGGTCCAGGCAGAAAAGCCTATGAGACCCCAGCATAGGGGCTGCTCAAGTCATGTTGTAGAGTAGGGAAAAAGAAAAAGGAATATGATGAGTAAAGGGTTTTATTTAGTACCTTTAAGAACTCATGTGCTTGGAGGAATATAGGTAGAGGCACATACAGATTGACACTGCATATATAATCAGATACTTAGGTACAAGAGCATCCAGGTCATTTGCAGACTGTCCCTTCTTCTCCAACCTTCTGAGTCAAAGATGAGGCCAGCAAAAGTAACAGTTACAGCACTACACCCTTGCCCTTCCTGGGCCCCAAAGTCACTGTCCCTTACCTTTATCCCCTCCACTCTATTCTTCCCTCTGCCTGCACACAGGAGACCACCTAGCCTTGCTGCCCATTGCCTTTGGTCTCCTTTGTTACTCATTGACCCTGTTCCTCACCCAGACACCAGGCTTTTGTCAACTAAGAAAAACGGACTCCCTAGAACACTACCTAGGGGCTTAAAGCTAGATTAAATAGATTTTTAAAAAGAAAAGAAAAAACAAAATTAGTTACAAAGATGTTCAAAGAGAAAGGTGGTCTTAGCAAATGGCCTTGTCCATGAGAATCATAACTTCAGCAGAACTCTTTTCTGAGATTTGTAAAGGTTTTATCATTGGCTTAAAAGGGAAAGCTAAAAAAAACCTTTGACCCTTGGGGACCAGAAATCTGAACACTCAGTGGCATTCCTCTATCATGGAAACGGAATATAAGAAAAAAGGACAAAGATGGCAGGTTCTGGTATAAACAGTGTGGTTGGTGGATACCCAGCCTTTCTCCCAAACAAAATCATGGAGGACAACTCCAACAGTGTAGATCTACCCACAACCCCTTTGCTTTCAACCCCATCCATCTGTGAAATTGCTCAATAGCAAGCCATTTCAGGTTTTAAGTAGTTTGTGAAAAGTTCATTTTAAATACAGTTTTGTCACTCTGAGTTTTTTTTTCTAAAATAAAACACATTTTTTTCTCTGTTAGCTAATAGCATATTTAAGTTACTATCTGGGTATTTAAGGTGTAAGTGACTTTTGTTTATGAGATATTTTTTATCATTGAAGTATATAATTTTGTGTAGTTTTAGGATTCTTTTTTTGTTCTTCTGCACAGAAAAAAAAGGCCAAATGACTAAAGGTTTTTGTTGATGACTCAAAACAACACTGGGATTAAGCATTGTTACAAGGAATCATAAAACACTAAGTAATTTTACTTGACATTTGTGACACTTTGTGTGTCTACCCATGTAGCATGGTTGCTGTGTTCTAGTGATCTTCACTGTATGTAAGAGCTTCTGTGACAAACCACTACAGTTCCCATCGCAGAACAATTACAGAAGGTTTTGACTAAGGTGCTCCTTTGGTGCAATCAGGTGTACTGCATGTGTGAATTTCTTCTTCTCTGCATTAAATGAGATGGCCCAAATGCATTTTTAGGACAGTATGCTTAATATCAGAGATCCTAAGAAATTGCACATTTTTAAATATGGTATTCTAATTAAAACCTAATTAGCAATTCACTGTGCTAGAACTTGGAATTTAGCATAGAAATAATTTCACTGTGTATGGAAAGTAAAGATGTATTTTTTGGAAACATTAGAATTTCAAAACTATAAGGCAGCACATGTGGAATTTAGAGGTGTTAAAAATCATAAGTGTGGGTTTCTCCATTGCTTTAAGCTTTAACAGTTTTGTATAATCAGCAAGCTTGCCAAACAGTATCAAAAAACTCATTTTCTTCAAGTGCTTTATTTATCTTTAATAGAACCTTCATCACCCTGGTGTTGTAAATTTGGAGTGTATGTTTGAGACGCCTGAAAGAGTGTTTGTTGTTATGGAAAAACTCCATGGAGACATGCTGGAGATGATCTTGTCAAGTGAAAAGGGCAGGTTGCCAGAGCACATAACGAAGTTTTTAATTACTCAGGTAAGAAATCAATTAGAGGCAGAAAAAAATAATATTTAATATCAAATGTTGTCACTGTTTAACTACAGCTTTCTAGCCTTGTTGTTTAGTCTCTACTTCCCATTTTAAACTACACTAGAAAAGGTTGCAGAAGCTTATTGTATTATCTGATTTATATCTGTGTTATTCAGAGTCCAAGTATACTAAATTAGTAACATATAAGCAGGCCCATGTATTAAAACCACTTGTTAAATTTTAAAAATTACATTGGCTTAGTACTGGTTCAATGAAAATACTAAGAATTCATGTCCCTGACACAAACTGAACTCCTTTGCCTACACCTGTGTGGTTGCTATACGGATACCTTAATCCACTACTCTTCCACTGGAGTTTTCCTAACAACCCACGATGTTAACCTAGCCCACTGACTGATCCTTGGTGGTTTCTTCTTGGCCTTTTAAGTTTATGTCTTATTAGAAAACACATTGATACTGATAGACTAAAATGGAATTATTTTGGTGATTTCCTCCTTTATAGATACTTGTGGCTTTGCGGCATCTTCATTTTAAAAATATCGTTCACTGTGACCTCAAGCCAGAAAATGTGTTGCTCGCATCAGCCGATCCTTTCCCTCAGGCAAGTATAAAAGCTTCTCTCAGCAAAAAGCCAGCTGACAGCACCACTGGTTCCCATGTAGCAGTCTGTCATCTTCTTTTTCCCCTCGAAACCTCTATTTGTTTCAAGTTTTACTGAGCATTTTCATCCATTTGTGATATTCTTATATTTTTGCAACTGTGCCCTCTCACTGTCTTCTCCTTTCAGCTGTTTTGATAATACACACCTGTGAATTCTCATTATGCTTTTTGGCTTCTCCAGACCTGACAGCCTTAGCTCAGACATGAAAGAACTGCCCTTGAGTTTGAGCACATTTTAAAGTTCCAGGGATGCTGCCAGCTTTGTAAGATTGGGCAGGACATTAAACTTCAATGCTGTTCTCAAGGACAAGGGCAGAGATTTCTTCCTTTCCTTAACTCAGCAGAGTGGAAAACAACTGGAGTTCTTCCCAGGAAATCATAAACCTGAAGTGACCTGCACAAGGTGGCTGTCTTGCCTTGCTATTCTGACACCTTCCGGTCCTGCCTACCTGCCCATGCAGAGCTCATTTTGAGGGTTAATGTGGATGAGGTGACTCATCTCTCTACTTATCCTTCATTGTCTGCTTATAAGCTGCGGTTAAGTTCATCATTCTGATTTGCATGTCTTCTGTCTTGTGAACAATATTACCCACCTCTAAGTTACATTTGTCTCTTTGTTTCCTGGGAGAGGAGAATATTTAGATGACGTTTTTATAAATGAAAACATACTTTTGAAGGCCTATAATCCTAGCTACTCAGGAGGATTGCGGGTTCGAAGCCAGCCCAGGAAAATAGTTTGCAAGACCCTCTTTTGAAAATACACATCACAAAAAGGGCTTGTGGAGTGGCTCAAGGTGAAGGCCCTGAGTTCAAGCCCCAGTACCACCAAAAAAAAAATAAATAAATACTTTTGTGTCAACACGTAAACCACGGTCTTCAAATACACATCACTCTGCTTAAACTATTACAGGTGTCTCTGGCAGACACGAGCTAGCACAGATAGAGACACATAATTGTGAGCTCTTTATTTCAAACGCCTCTTGTCAACAACAGGTGAAACTTTGTGATTTTGGCTTTGCCCGGATCATTGGAGAGAAGTCTTTCCGGAGGTCTGTGGTGGGCACCCCAGCTTACCTGGCACCTGAGGTTCTAAGGAACAAGGGTTACAATCGCTCTCTAGACATGTGGTCTGTGGGGGTTATCATCTACGTGAGCCTGAGTGGCACTTTCCCATTCAACGAAGATGAAGACATACACGACCAAATCCAGAATGCAGCTTTCATGTACCCGCCCAGTCCCTGGAAGGAAATCTCTCATGAAGGTAATGTCTCCGTCAGGAATGACAGTGATTTCATGATTTAAGGTTAGGTTTTTAACTTATTTGTGAATTGATAAGTTGTACCCCCTGGGTTGGAAGCAAAAAGTGATTGGGGTGGGTTGGGAACTAAAACAAATAGAGTCAAAAAATGTCTAGTGATAAAATATGTGTGTGTGTATTTTTAAAACGAAGGAGTTTTTTGCCTGGAAGTGAGGGGACTGGGAGAGAGAGGGAGGTGTGGGGGCAGGGAGGAGAGATGGCCCAAACAATGTATGTATATATGAATAAATAAACCAAAAAACCCCTAAAAAAAATCAAAATGCACCATAGACTAGAAATAAATACAGACCTTGTGTATGGTTTTGGGAAACTTTATATATTACGTATATGTATAAATGTCATACATCACACAATGATGCCTCTGTCAATGATGTCACCAATACACAGCAGTATATTGTATATACAGTATACTGTATATACTGTCTTTAACAAAACCTGAAGGAATTGAGAACTATGTATTAAAATGTAAATGAGACAATCAGTGGACAGTTGTTCCTATGTTGGTATATTTCCTTGGGGTATGTAAATATTTATGTATTGATGCAGTGGCAATGAATCTTTTTAGTAGTAATCTTAACATGTACTTGGTTTTGCATTAAGCAGTTTTTTTGGATGGTACTGAGGATCGAACTCAGGGCCTGGTACTTGCTAAACAAGTACTGTAACAACTAAGCTACACCCCCAGTTCTTTTGCTCTTAGTTTATTTTTCAGACAGAATTTTCTGCTTTTTTGCTTGGACTGCCATCTCCTACTTCTACCTGTGAACTAGCTGGGATTCCAAGTATGGCCACATGCTGGGCCCTTTGTATTAAGCACTTTTAATGTGTCACTTGGCACAAGAACTTTATGGCAGTGATATTTTAATTATTATATCACATATATTGGTTTACCAAAGCATGTATAGTATTTTATTTGACCATTTCCTTGGAATTTAGATGTTGCTTCTGTTTGTTCAGTACTGGGACATCCTTGTGTATGCTTTCTATATATATCTTATGATAACTTCTTAGGTTAGGTTACTTTGGCAATATTGTAATATTTAAATCTATATTCTTAATAAATATTTCCTTCTTCTTAAAGTGGAAGAAATGCTTTAAAATAAATAGCAAAGGCTGATAGGCCAAAGAAAAATGACTTATTCAGTGCTTTTAAAAAAAGGTCAAAATAAAGGACATCAATTCTTCATCTGTAAACATACTTTGGAGCTTATTTAATTCTCATGAAAATCCAAGATAGGTTTTAATATTATACTTGTATTTTAGGTAAGAAAACCAAAGCAAAAGAAGTGATAGCACAGCTCAAAATCACAGACTGGTCAGTGGCAGGGCCAGAGCTCACAGGCCACTAGTGTGGGCGCATCTGTTCACATGAGCCCTGCTTCCTTGCTAGTATCTGACAGTGCCTCGTTTGAAGTTCATTGTAACTCTTCAGATTTCCACCACTTCAAAAGGCTAATACATTCATAGATTAACCTCTCATGATACCTGCTATAGTCTGTGCTGGTATAGAAATGGGAAAGGAGTGTGGATAAACTGCTTAAGGTAGATTAAGTTGTGAGACACTGATAATATTAAATGGCAAGAGCTATCATTTTCAGAGCTTTAAGTTACCATTAGCAACAACCTTTAACATCCTCTAATTAGCTGTAAATCATAGCTAAATGCATATATCTTAACGGAGTCTGTGGTCTACTAAAGAGCTATAATGTATGGCAATAGAACAATTAAATATTTAGGGTAACTCAACAAAGATGAAAGTAAAGTGTAATTATTTTTCTTTTCCAGAACGTAGAAGAGAAGGCATTTTCAAGTAACCTGTGATCAGTACTCTTGTTAGTAAACCTTGCCATTAAATAGAGTTAACCCTTATGCTAGGCACCTCTAGTCCAGACCCAGTAAAAATAACTTGATTCTGTTACTGTACTGGAAATAGGTAATATTCCTAAAGCCACTCAGACCACTTTCCTGTTATTGTCACTGGTAACAGACATCATACATATAGATTTCACTGGCTTGAGATTGTTGTTGGGAAATCAGAATTTATATCCATCACAAGGAATATGAAAATAAAGGATAGAACGTACAATGTGTCTCAAAAACATGAAAAAGTGATAATTTATTTCCTTGAATTGCCAGCTAAATGTAAAACCAGGATTTCTAGTTTAGATGAGGGTGTATCACTGTGAATTTGACTACTATGAATTGAATTTTCAGAAAATGCAGAACAATGGCAGTCAGTGAAGAAAGGAAAAGACTAGATACAGCATTTTACTAAAAGGGAATTATAAATGGTAATTCAAAAACCATTTATATTTGACCAGGAAATATACATTTTACTTGACTAGGGAAATGTCCAAGCACTGAAAATTTCCTTCCACTTACACAAAGTGATATGGAAAACAGCTCAGGTGGAAGATAAAACTCTGAATTTTCTAAAGGACTCCATATCTGATTGGGAATTAGCTGGCCTCTACTCAGTGCCACCTCTGGCTCACCCTCATCTTCAGGCTCAGGAGCTGTACTGCTCACTGCTAAAGCTCTGAATGGAAAATGAGTTATCTACCTAATGCTGAATATAGAAATTAAATCATATCATCATATCACCTGACAAGTTACTAAAATAGTTACTGGCCCAGTTCTATCCCAGTGTCTCATGAGAACAGATAACTCTCTGAGTAGAAGGTACAGAGGGGCCAATAATAAAGAATTTTAAGCATATAGGAACTGGCAAGAACAACTAGTATCTATAATTGGATCACTTTGTAGTGTCAGAATATTTTAAACCATTAAGAACCCAGATGCCCAGAAATAAAAGTCTAGGTATTGCAATGATTCTAAAGCCAAGGTAAAGGTCAATAGTCTAGCAGTTTGAGGTCCAGTACTGTCTGTCATTCTAATTGGTTACCACCTACCTTCATTGGACTTTAATCCCTCATCTGTAAAATGGAGTAATGATTCCTTCCTACAGAATGAGGTTGTGATAAAGACTGAAAGAGATGAAGGATGTGAGAGGCTTCTATCAAGGCAAGTGTGGATCAGCAAAGGGTTTGAATTAGGAGGAGGACCACAGAGCACTAAGCTAGGAAACTGATCTTGCTGATAACCAAGAATCGTTTGTATAATTTTTGAAATCATATGCAGACTGATGTGCATGTTTCTCAGTGTTCTGCAGACATATTGCTGGTTGAACTTTTTTGGCATGAAAAGGCAAAAGAAAATGTTATAAAGTCTTTGTAGCACACATAAATGTGTCAGAAGAAAAAAATTCCTATATCATGTATTTTTTCTATTATTATAGACACAGACTTAATATATACCTATATATTATGGTGACTGAGCAGTCATTATACTGTTTGAGCCTCACAAAAATTCTGTGCTAAGTCATTTACTTTAGTCTCTGCATTAGAGAGAAACCAGAAAGTTTTAATGTCTTACCTGAGGTCCCTTAGTGACCTTGAAATTAAGGCTTGGACACGAAATCATTTATTCTCCCTTTATACTATGTATTGCTGTGTACCAAAAGGTGTTTATTTCTTATGGGTTGATATTTAAAAATCTATGGGGCTTTATACTCATTATTTATCTTTGCTCTACTAATATAATAATTACTGACATCATAGAAAGATGCTTACTAATAATATATTAGTGAATTAACCAGGATTTTGTGTTTAAATAACACAAACCTACCTCAAACAAGTAGGATAATTTGGCACACACAGTTTTCAAATCCAAATGGTAAACCTCAGATTCAGCTGTATCCTGTAGTTCAGGTGTTACACTTCTCCATCTCAGCTCAGTTTCGCCTTGTGAGAACTTCCTGCTCAGGTGGACTATTCATATGGTACAAAGTGATCCCCAGGAGCTGCAGGCTTACCTGCTTCTTATTGTTGTCTATGATCTCAGAATAGAAGGATGACCATTTCTCTATACCCAAAGATGCTGAAAGGGGCACCAGTTGACTATGTTTAAACCCTGGGAACAATCACGGAATCATCCCAGAGCCTGGCTCTGATTGACCCTACAGATCATGACGTGCCTACCTAAGAAGGAAAGGGGAAGTTCCTGCAGGGAAAAGATAACAGGCTAGAAACAAATGAAAAAACATTAGTAAAAAAATAGATTGTGGGGGTGATGGATCAACGTATGGTTTTTAAAAAAACGAGAGAAAATTTATGGAAAATTTAACTTGCAAAGGTAAAGTAGAGATAATAAAAATAACTAAAACTTTAAAGAAAAAAAGTTAAGATATTAGGACTAATGCTTCTAAAACATTTACCCTATAGTCAAGAACTACTCTAAACATTTTACATGCATGAACTCATTTCACCACTTCAGCCTTTGAGTAGATCTTATCATTGTTCCCACATTAAAGGTGAAATGATGCAAGCATGGAGGTTGAGGATTTGCCTGGGTTGGAGAAGGTTGCATATTCTAACAGTCTGGCTCCAGGGCAGGTGCTGTTACCCACAACATACCCCTTGATTACCCTTCTAATGGATACAGCCATCCTGCCACATTAATTTTTTTCTTTTTTTTATTATTCATTTATTCACATGTGCATACATTGTTTGGGTCATTTCTCCCCCCTGCCCACCTGCCACATTAATTTTAAACATGCTTTCTCTATCTTATTAGAGGAACAACACAATTTTTAATAATCTCAAAAAATACTTGAAAACAGTATTAGATTGTGATAAAAAAAAACAGTTGAGAGCTCTATCATGTAATATCTTAGTGACTTCATTCAAGTTTCATATTCTCTTAGGTCCCAGTTTTCTAATATGAGATACAGATTAAAGTAGTCTTAGATTAATTACTGCCTCCCGGGTTATTGTAAATATTAAACAAGATTTCAGTAGAAATGCTTAGCACTGTGATTGCATAACTATCTTAATTAATATATCTTGATCACTTTTTCTTTCCTAGTCACTTTACATTGCTGGTTCTTCTGTCATTTATCTATCTATCTGTCAAACATGTATGTATATATTTGGATTTTATATATGTATGCATACACACACACGCACATATATA